CCATTATCATTAAGCATAGTCATTCCATAGCAGTTATATGAAATGACGGTTTCCTAAAATTGGGAAAGCCGATGGATTTATGGATTTGTTTTTTGACGGATTTCAAGAGTGTTTTTTAAAAACATTGTGGTTTTAAGACCGCTCGGGCTGGGAGGCTGGGCAGGATCGGCTGGTGGACCATTGAAACCCAAATGGTGGGATGGCTTTGGCGCCATATTTTGTCCAACATATTTACCCTCTGGTAAACTGTCACATAACTATGGAAAATCACCATTTTCAATGGGTAAATCCACTATTTCTATGATCATTTTCAATAGCTATGTTAGTCATTACCAGAGGGTAACAACCACAAGTGACTTGGAAGATGGGACAATGATATTTTTTTTTGTGCTGCAACATCTGTTGATTTTGAGATTCCACAGAAGGGTTCGTCTGAAAATGGGGTGCGAAAATCCCCATGTGGAAATCACCGGTTTCCCTGTTGAAATAGCCATTCTGGGGGTAAAAAACGCCCATTTGCAGACAAACCAATGCTGATTTTTTCTTCCAGTAGTTGTATCACAGTCCATCCTGGCTTGGGAAAAAGATCCTTACCTGTTCCATTTCCTGGTTGTGCTTGTGGCCCATGTGGAGGTTTCTTAAAATCGAGGTACCCCCACATCATCCACGTCATTAGACCTTGATTTAGTATGCAAACTACCATAGTTTTGGGGCTTCCGTCAAAATAAATAAATTCCATAACTAGATCGATATATATATACATATAATATGATAATATATATATATATCTATATAATAATATATAATATATAATATAATATAATATATATATACATCCAAATGTTCATATTGTTCGCACTTTTCTTGGCCGATGTTGCCTTCCCATATCATCCCGCGGATGTCTTGGTTCCCCCGCCATATCCTTCTCTCATCCGTTGTCCCCGGTGGCTGTGGCAGTCTTCTCCTTTTTTTGGATCGACTTTCGGGGTCAAAATATGTCAAACACACCCCAAAATGGGCATTTTAATCTGGAAAATGATGAGAAATCAATGATTGTTATGTTTTTTTTTGGTAAACCTGGTAAACCATTTTCAAACACACCATGCAATGTGAAAATAACCCCCCCACAGGCCCCACAGTGATATGATTTTGATGTTTTTCCCAAATGGTATTGCTGGACACGTGGTCAACCAAGAGTATATAATTAGTAACAGCGAGCATCCAAATATCTCAAATCACAGGATAATATGTTTATGGAATCTTTGATATTCTTATACTATTTATTATCACTAGTATTACATATTAGTCGCGTAGAATCATCATGATGTGTCTTTGCCCATAGATATCATATTCCCTTTTGTCTATGTTCATTATCAGCATTGGTATTCCTTGTGTTTTCATAAACTATTGCCGTTGCTTAAATTATATATAGTTTTCAATGCAATACGTTTTCCATCAAAAGCTGAATATCATATTTACCCTGCGGCAATCAAACGTGGCAATTGAAAATGGATCCGGAATTGTTTGTTGCTTTTTGAGTTGTTTTTATTTCCTGTTCTGTCCGTTTTCAGTGCTATGTGTAGCATTTTGGAGCTGGAAGCTGCAATTTCAGCGGTATTTGCAACATTTTGGAACTCGAACGTATCATTTTCCATGGTATTAGCAACTTTTGCAAGTAGGGTCTATTTAGGATTGGTTGGTTCATGTAGGATTGGCTGAAGGTTTCTTTAGGTTAACACTTCCATTCAAACATTGTATTTGTTTGAGTTGTTATTTTTTCTATTTCAGTTTTTGTTTGGGATTTCTGTTTCCCTGCTTTTCTGTTTTGCCCTGTTTCTTTGCTTCTCTGCTGCTTTGCTTATGTCTGTTTTTCCCCACTTCTTTAATGCTTCTTTCTCTGCTTCTCCGCTTTCTCTTCTCTGCTTTTCTCGTTTTTTTGCTTCTCAAGCCTATAGAAACCCTAAGAACCACCATATAAATAAACCCCAAACCAGCTTTAAATAAGCACAACCCAATCCTAAAAAACTCTAAACAAACCTTCAATAAATCTGAAACTTACCCCAAGTAAACAGTAAACCAACCCGAAAGAAATGTTGAACCAAACCTAGACAAACCTTATTTAGGTTCGTTTCGATTTAAGTAGGGTTGGTTGAGAAAATCATCTACAAATCGAGGATTTTCCAGCAAACCATGTTTGATTACTGGAGGGTATCTCCCATTAAATCCCATTAAATCCCGTTAAATCCCAATATTCCATGATATCCCTACTATATTCCGAATCCCATAAAATCACATTTTTTTGGGGTCGCCGAATAAGGCGCCGCCTTCGCTCTCGCTGTCCGCAGAGGCTTCCCAGGTCGCCAAGCTCTCCAGGGCATCGCTTACCTCTACGAAAAAAATGACGATCTTTACCTTACCATCAAAAAAAAGTAAGATGGTGAGGTAAAAATCATTGGTGTAAATAATTCAAAAATTGATGTAAAAAAACTATTCAATCATTGTTGTAAATGATAAACTATTCAAAAAAGGAAAACACCAGTCACCAATGATTGATTTTACAAAAATAATGAAAGGATGATACATCTCCTTTTGTGAATAGTAGCACCTTTCCAGTTACACAATAAACTATTCAAAAATGGAAAAGACCCATGATTGGTCTTTATAGGTCAAACCTTAAGATAGAAAAAAAAAAACATATTTTTCTCTATGATTTTACAAGCCATCTTCTATTTGATGTTGGGTTTGGCATCAAAAAAAATCAAACAGAAAATATTCTGTAAAATATTCAAGCAATGATGTCCCAAAACGATGATGCAAAAAGTCATCATTTTGGTATGCAATATTTTCTACTTGAAATTTGCTGCGCACTCACCTTAATTGGCCAGATCTTCACGCCCTGGATGCCGAGGGCTCTTGGCTCATACCCATATACATGTCCTTACCGTTATTATATAGAAGGGTGCCCAACCAGTAGATTATATTAGAACTTCCACGATTTTGGGTTACGTCACGTGGTGGACAATTTTGACCTGGGCTTGGAGTGGGGGTCCGGGGGTGTCCGAAACCAATATTTTTCATGTAAAAAACATTTGGACAAACACAAACAGAAGAAACATGTCCAAAGTTGCTGCCACAAGCCAGTTATACCCCGTGATAACTTTTCTGGCACCTCTCTCGCTGATATACACCCATCATTATCTTCTTGACGACGGCCCACTTAGAAAAGTGACCCCAAGTAAATCGTGGCCAAAACCCCAATGGGCATCCCTTATGTTGGATATGTTAACATCCCATCATGATAACTCGCTAACAAAACTAGGGCATAAACCCCAATGTATCACCGACAGTGCCCAACTATTTCAATGTTTTCATTCTCCCCATGACTATAGGTAGTACATGGTAGTACTATACCATACTATACCCCCTATTTCATGGCCGCGAAAAACACCAGTATGTTTTTCATGGCCCGTGGTCCAGGAGCCCATGGGGAGCCCCTGAAAAGCCACGCCACGGACCAAATGGTTTTGGTCATTTCCTCTCCGAGTACTGCATCCAAAACCTTCGGATGCATGGGATGGATGTCTTGCTTGGAGAGCTTTTTTCCGAGCTTCTGATATGAGCCATGGTCAATACTCACTATATGGTTGATGGTCATCCCATTCATAATAAGGATCCTTATAATGGTTATTATAAATCCCTATAAACCATTGGATGACTAGCCCCTATTAATGGTTATTAACCATGAGTATTGACCATAGCTCATATGTTGGACGGCTAAAACTACAACTAAGATGTGGCAAAGCACGTTGCTATATGACTTTGTATCAAGGAATTTGAGGTACTCGTTGATTGTATTTGTAATATGTGTATGATTCCGGACGATTTGTGCGTCCGATCAAATTATGAATGCCCCGGAACTAGTGACAACTGGATACGACTCCCTGACCCATGGTTCATCATTGCACAGCCTCACCGGTTGAAAGGCTGACTTTAGCACTAAAATTCGTGGCTTGTTGAAGGCACTGAGCAAAGAAACTCGGCACTGGCTGATGATTTGATTGTTGACATAGGGGTACCCTGGGGTACCCCCAAATCATCCCATGTTCTGAGGATTTTCCACTATAAACCATCCAGCTCTTGGGGTTTCCTCATTGTAGGAAACCCCCATATGGGTATGGGATGGTATGGTGAAGACCTTGGTGAACGTTCGGCACTTTCTGTTCAACAGGACGGGTCTCCGATGGTCTCCGCAGCGTTCAGTGGCCAGAAAGAATCGTCTGCTGCCAGTATCATGGCGCTGTCGAACAAAAGAAATCAAGATGTACAGTATCAGTATCTAACTGGATATGTGGCATTTTTAAATGTGTTTACAGGTCCTTGGAACATGGGTCAGAGAGTCACTCCGGTCCAATGACCGAAAAAAGGACCGAGAAATACCCTAGCTGCACTAGCTGCCAATGTGAGCAACTGCAACACAGCTGTGTCATGGAGATCAACAGAATTGGGACTCTTCAACCATCATCAGCTTAATCAACGAAACCCAGCACAACTTTGAAGTTTGAGCCCCCACCTGGATATCTCGCCAATGATGCTTACCCAGAATTTTAAAACACATAAAAACACCGGTCTACTAAATCGGGTCATCATATATACGCATATATGATTATATATATAGAGATAATATTAGAGAATAAATAAATGATGATAATATGCTACACTTAATACGAATTTTCGCTATTTGGGCGACCCCCTATGAGTAACGTGTTGTTTTATCCGGGGTTGACTGTAATCTAAATTCATAATAATTCATAAACAAACAACTATTCTCTTCGGCCCATGGATTTTTGTTTCATCCATCAATCATGACTTGGGGATGGGTCAAAACCTTGTACCCCTGGTGAACAAAATAGCTGGGATTTATGGATGTGAATAACCCACTCAAAATGGTATTTTCATAGGTATTGATCCATACCCACTTCCCATCATCACCCCATGTTTTTTCAGTGCCGCCAAGTTGCGGTGTAGGACACATCACCCACCGATGGCGCGATGCCGTTGGCGCCTGCATCAACCTCCGGTGGCGCGTCGCTCTGCAGGAGCTGCTCGAATTGGCTCAGAGCGTCGCTGGCCTTGACGGCCGGGGATGGGTGGCTGCTTTGGGGATAGGGCAAATTGCTTGGGGGATTGGGATTGGGGATGGGGGATGACGTTCAGATTTCAAGAAAAACGATGTAAAATGCGCTTTGGTCATGCAAATTCATGCTGCTGTGGATGGAAAAGGGGATCAATTTCGGATGAGGGGAATCTGCACTCGTGCACAGTCCCATGCAAAATGTAGACCTCAAGCTCTAGTTTCCCCTTTGATCTCTTCATCCAAGTTGCAGACATGCCGTTGTTCGACCAAGGCTGTGACGAAATTCCGAGCCGTGCAGGGACCCACACGTGCGCTTGCAAGCGCTTTGCAGCAGCACTCCCTTGGTGAGTCATGGCATCATGTGATTGTGATTGGCTACCGGGCCACCTGTACCAGCGATTCCTTACAAAGCAGTTACATTAAACCTGTGCTATAGTTAATATCGAACATATCGTTCCTTTCCTTACGAATATACATCATTATACATGCATATTCAATGTCACTGGGTAGAAGAATACACATCCAAAAATATTATGACAATTGGGATCCTGATGCAAAACCATACGAGCACAACAGAATGGACAGAATGTCGTCAGGACCCTGGAGATCTGATTTTGTATCGGCGGCTAGATCATGCTGGATGCATACACAAGTCAAAACGTACTACTCACAACGGTCACAACGTCACATCGTGTAACCCATGTTTTTTTCCACCTCAGCCTGTGATCCTCTTTGAAACAAGGAGAACAATCCCAGACGAATGAGGTGAACTCCTACAATCCGAGTGGAAAAACTGCTCGTCATTGGGGATCATCATCGCAAATATGGAAAAAAACATGCATCTGAAACCACCAACCAGATCATCATTGGTTGTAAATTCATGTAATTCATAATATACCCATTAATCATTCCATGTTCGATGGTTAAATCATCCATGTAAAACCCAGCAACGACCATCGCCAGGCCACTCAGGCGTTTGTCTGAGGCCGCCAAAAGGGTCCTGGGTGAAGCACGTCGGTAGACGTGGTGGTGAATTAATGAATGGGGATAAACATGGATAAACCAAACACTTTATTGGGATATAATGGGATATGATGAGAGTATACATCCAAGCACAATGCGGATATCAGGAGCAAAGAAGATATATACAGTACATATTATATGTACAGCTGATAGTATATACATGTTTTTGTATGCAACTTGCTCTATATGCCCACGGGCCTCCTCAAACAAAATACAAAGTAAAATACTGTTGAGATCCGTTGAGCAATATTACTGTAAGCATCAATTGGGGCAGAGATCAAGATGACGACCAAAATAGAAAGGCCAATCTGTCCCCCTTGCTATGTATGTTGATTCAACCAAACGCAGATGTTGTTTGGTAATTTCACAGTTGGCTTCGTTGAATCCAAGACATTCTGTTAGTGTTAGCTGAAATCCCATGTCACTTGGTTTATAAAACAACAGTTTCATCATCACCGTTATACATTATACATCATAGTCAACGTCAAATCAAATGGTGAAATCGGTTCCTTGGTGAAGAAATCAGTTGAGCCATGAAAAATCCTCTGTACTGGTTAGATCTGGTTAGTAGACGATGAATTCTATGATGGCTTCTAATAATTCCCATTAAACCAGGTAGTCCAGGTAGTATAATCCCCTATTGATTAACCATAGACAATATAGCATATCAATATTAGCTTTAATACCAGGTCCATCATTTGTCATTGAATATCTCGGTGACTTACTATCCTTTCGGCCGCAACGCCAAACTCCGGCCGCAGCCCGAGCAACGCCAAGCTCTCAACGGAGTTCTCCACAGGGGCCCAGTGCAACAAATCGCTGAGGGCCTCAAAGGCATCGTCGATGAAGGCCACGGACACGGTACCAAGATGTTCCTCGAAACAACCGGGACAGCGGATCAAAAACCATGGCGAAAAAAAGGAAAATCCACCGAGAATTGTGTGGGATTATCTGTGAATAACGATTTCACCAACAAAAGCTGGGGATAAGGGAACAAGTGAGATGAAATTATGTTCATTGAAATGGACTTATCCATGGATATTCCCAATTTAAACCATTGAACATAAATTGGGTTTAAGGGAACATATCAACCGGAAACCGTTGATTTCCTATGAAATATGGGGAAATATCAAGTGAGATGAACATTTGGGGAAACATTGAGGATGGGAAACAGCTTGTGATTTTGTGCCCAACCAAAATAAATTGGGAATTCTATATGGATACATAATGAAAAATAGAGCATATATATATATGTTTACCAACCAAAAAAGTGAATCCGAAGCACTAAACATGGAGATAAAACCAAAGAAGAAAGGGACTTAAGCTGCAAATATTTCTTTGAGTAAAGATAGTAAAGTGGCATGTCAGCCATCAATGTCTATCAGTATGACATGAACAGGAGACGGATTCACATATTTCAGCATAATTCAGCCACCTATACCCATAGGATCCATGTATGGTATATATGCTGACATTGGGGGTATATTGATGGTAAATGTTACCATATATGGCATACATGGATCCTATGGGATATACATTAAGGCCATTTCGAATGACTTTTCTCATTAGCCATTGTTCCAGTGACGTTGCAGTGAGGTTGTGATGAGATTTATCCAGATATGTCATGATCATGAACCGAAGAAAGGCAGCAGAATTGTAACCGACACGCGCAATGATCATCATAGAGGACGATACATCCAGCCAAGAATGGCTATGAAGATCCAGTGGGGTTGATGCAGAAGTGAATATGACATATGGGCATGGCTGACGGGGTTCAAACAGATCCACGTGTTTACATCTTACTTTACCCCCGGGTAATTTAACATAACTATGGAAAATCACCATTTTATAGCTGGGAAAATCCACTATAAATGGCCATTTTCAATAGCTATGTTAGTTTACCAGAGGGTACTCTTCAAAGATTCAATTTTACCAATCGCCATCTGACTTATGATGTGAGCAAGTAAAGAAACATAAAGAAACATTGTAAACCAACCACGAATGGAACCCTTGGATAAGCTAACGAAAACCAATGCTGAAACCAGTGTGATGATCCTCTACTTTTATCGTAGTGGGTTATCCACATGCATTGAAAAAGGCCAGGAGATGTCACCAACAGTGAATATGTGCAAATATCATGTGATGAAAAAAAATGTCCACTGATGGGTACATCAAAGAATTTCATAGAATATATGTACTTAAATTTATATTATTAATAAAGGTGCATACACAGATCATAGATCATATATTATACACATGTAATCCACATTCCTTGCTATATAATAAGCATCCCTTCCACATTAGGCCTGCTATATATGTCATCACGGGATCTTATCGGTTCCACGTGGTTCCACATGGTTCCACCAGTTCAATCGGGACACCGAAAGCCAGGCATTGCCCCTAATCAGAGACTGCCTGAGCCATCGAAAAATGTGGATCCTGTGGAGATTTGAGATGGGGATTAATTGGGATATTGGGATATATTCAGATACATGGTATCTGATGTTTTAGTGGATGTGTTTCTATTTATATATATAAATGTATTATACATGTCACTTCTCACATGTTAGATTTGGTCATATCACATCTGCATGTAGCGGGATTTGATCGGAACGTGTTCCAAAGGACCAGCCCAATCTGCATGGTGATTCAAATGGCAGAACGAAGAAAACCCAAAATGCTGCCCTACAAGCACGACACTACGTTCCCGGCCAGAAGCGTACCTGCTCACTTTCTGTTGATTTCCAGCCAATCAAGCAGGTCAGGCTTTGTCTAAACAAGTTCCCCAACTTAACTTATATAATATCCAGAACAAAGGTGTTGGCAAAGGCCGCTAGAATTGTTTCTGAGGTACTAACTCAGGAGATTCATCAATTCACAAGGGCAGCGTTCCGGGGCAAGCAAATTAAGGGGGTCCAAGTTGACAATAACTAACTGGTGGCTTGGAGATCTGCCAGCCATGAACAGCTTGAGTGCTAGAATCTAGAATTTGAACCATATTGCGACCGATGAACCCGCTCAACAATCTCAACTATGGTGAATTTTGATAATTCATCACGGTCCTGCTAGGCTACCCATGGCTAGCCGCAAAGAATTTCATCCTGTTTTCCCGCACTGCCCATTTGCACATTGCTGTTCTGCCTAGTTGCAATAAAGCTGGCCAATGATTTTGCGGCCACTGACCATGTCCACACAGGACTGCGATCTTGGTCGCAGGACTGACTACTTGTGACATGATGAGGATCCCATGATAGTTTTAGTCATCTAGACCGTTTCACAAAGCGTGGTTTCCCTAGAAATTTGTGGTTCATAGCTCGAAATGTTGATTGCAAAAGAAGGAGAACAAAGTTTGGTTTCTTGCTCTGAGGGCACATCAGTCTCAAAACCAAGCCCAACTAGCAGTTTCATTTTTGACTCGTCATTGATTTCCAGCGCAAAAAAAACCCAGTCCCTTTTGGAAACACAATTTTTGGATGTCACTCCACCGAACCCTCTCCGATCGTCAAGACACCAAGCGCCACACCCCAGGTGTCACCGGTAGCGTTTTGCCCGGCGAAGCCAACACTGGGCCGCCCGTGATGCCCAAATTTTCCAAGGCTAAACGCGTCATGCCTAAGCTGTGGATAGTGATTAGTGATTGTGGCGATGTATGTTTCATGCGCATGATATGCAATGAAATGTATGTATGTATGGATGGATGGATGGATGATGGATGGATGTATGTATGTATGTATGTATGTATGTATGTATGTATGTATGTATGTATGTATGTATGTATGTATGTATGTATGTGTATGTATGTATGTATGTATGTATGTATGTATATGTAATGGCATGCATGCATATGCATGTATGCATGTATGCTGTATGCATGTATGCATGTATGCATGGTATGCATGTATGCATGTATGCATGTATGCATGTATGCATGTATGTGCATGTATGCATGTATGCATGCATGTATGCATGTATGCATGTATGCATGTATGCATGTATGCATGCATGTATGCATGTATGCATGTATGCATGTATGCATGTATGCATGTATGCATGCATGTATGCCATGTATGCATGTATGCATGTATGCATGTATGCATGCATGTATGCATGTATGCATGTATGCATGTATGCATGTATGCATGTATGCATGTATGTATGCCATGTATGCATGTATGCATGTATGCATGTATGCATGTATGCATGTATGCATGTATGCATGTATGCATGTATGCATGTATGCATGTATGCATGTATGTATGTATGTATGTATGTATGTATGTATGTATGTATGTATGTATGTATGTATGTATTATATATATAAAGATTGTTGATGTGTGTACTGTACATTCTATGTAGAAATACATGGTATATATGCATGATATTTATGTTTTCTATACATATGGCAATTTTTCGTGAAAAATCAAGAACCATGGTGTTTTTTCCCTGTTTTAGGTGGCTGAGGAATCCTATTTGCAATGGCCTCTCTTTACTCAGGATTAGCTCATATTTAGACCACCATGTCCTCTATCATCTCCAATTCTGCACTGGCAATATATTATATGTATGGTGGTTTGTTGGCTTCAACATGTCTGCAATTTTGAGTAGTTTACTAAAATACTTAGTTGAGCTGCCTGGTTGTACCCAAGTGTTTGTTAGCAAACATATTTGCTGCATGTGCTGGTTCTCCCAATGTTCTGATTTTGGTTGAGTCTTTACGAATCAATTTGAAATAAGGTGTCTTTCAAAAGGTTGAAATTTCCCCACATATCAACTATCATTTGGCCAAGGGTAAAAATCTCTGATTCCCTGTGTGTACACTCATTAGAATGGCGGGTGCTGTAAATGGATGTTTGTCCCCCCAACCACATGGAAAGGGAAAGGTGTTTTGGCCCATCAACACATCATGAAGAAAAACGTATTTGCGACTCACACCCATGTTTTTCGAAATCTGCTGATGAATCATTTCTCACGCTACTTAAAGCCCTGCTTTTGGATGGTGAGTCTCCATTTTTGTTGCTTGAATCTCCATTTCGGGATTAAGTCACGCTTTGCCCCACTATCCCCACTTGTCCTACTTGTTCCGATACCATCCACTGCTGCACCACCGCCACGTGGCGCTGCGACATCTTCGTAGTGCCACTGGAGCTTCCCGCCACCGACGTCCAGGCCCTAGCCGCGAAGGCTGCCAGTGCGTCGCTTCGCTGCGCGGCGCTGTCGGAGGTTTGGGACCAACGGAGGAACTTCTCCATGAGATCCACCAGACCTGGCAAAAAAGGAGCATTGCTTAAGAAATCTTTGATGTATTCAAATGTTATATACCATGGAAATGGCCCTTGGCCCAAATCTTTCCAGTACCGTGGTGGGGCTGTTTCCAATGGATGCTTGAAAGATCGTTGCGCCGTGGCTTTGTTTCCTCGTTGTGGTTCTGTGGCCGCCAAAGGCAGTTGATTGCCTGGGAAGAGGGGGTTTGCTGTTTGGGCGCTTGATTCAGGATTCATCCGGGCGGATGACCATTTGCAACATACCCTTGTCATTGCAGCTACATACCTCCAAAGCAACCCATGATTTCAACCTCGAAAGCACCTTTGGGGTGGCACGGCCAACAAGTCAGTCGCAAGAATGGCATATTTTTAACAGACCTAGGTTGCATCCCGCTGCCAAAAGGTAAGCTTGGATAGTGCAAGCAAGCCTTCAATGAGCCATGTGGGTCATCCCTATCCAGCTTCTAGGCGTGTTGGAGACAACAGAAAGTGGGTCAGGATGGGTTGCTTTTTCACTGTTTGGAGACCTAGGTGCAGCATCACTTCTTTGGTTTTGCGAAGCAATCAATTTCGGCTCGCTTCTGCTGCATAAGTTTGCTAGACAACTCTGGCACCAACTGTGCTGCTTGGTGAATGGACCGGTGGGCATGCCTGACAATTGCCACCCCTAGCCACCTCAGTTTCAGCCAGGGTTCGCGAAGAATGCTGCTTTCCCTGCTGGAAACATCTGAAGTGTGTACTCTAGTGCAGTCCCACAGCTTGTGGCATACCATGGAAGCTGGAAACTCCTTTACCCCTCTTTGAAATGTGCACAAAGCGACCTGTTGGACATTGAACTCGTGCTGCACTGCCACTCAAAAGCCGTCCAAGATGTATGGCCATATATAAGATGGAAAATGATGTTTGGACATTGGAACATGCCTTCTAGATGTTAAAATGAAAACTGAAAGCGGCCTCTCAATGGAAAATTGGTGTTTGTTCTTTCATATGTTGAAATTTAAGATCCACTAGACTTGATGAGAACATGCTGGAACATATTGGACAATGCTGGAGATGGAAAAGCTTAGCTGTTAAAATATGATAAAATACCTGTTGGTAGTTGAATTTAAGATGTTGAATGGAAAAATGGATGAACCTCGGCGAAAGACTTAGCTGGAAAAATGACATGAAGTGCCGTAGACAATTGTGGATCGAACATTGAATGCATATGTACCCATTCTTTGATGGCCATTTATAATTCCTAAACTGAAGTTGCACATGTCAGGCACCATGCAGCTCCAACTAATCAGCAGATTGATGGTACTATCCTTCTCAACTTAGGATCAATTTTCAGCAAAACATACCTTTAGGTCACAGTCCCTTGGATATGTTGTACAACATCTGAATCATCTGAATATCAAACATGTCTGAAGCAACAAGGTGGTGCCCCCCAGTTATAAGTTGGTTTATAATCCCATTAACTATAGATATATCTACCATAAGTCCTAGTTATTAGAGTTATAAACCAACTTAGCTATCTTGGGGGCACCACATTGAATGATCCTCACAGGGCTCAGCAACCCCAAGGCCTGTATCCAAATCATCCACGGCTTCTTCATTCTTTGCGACACTTTCTTCACCTCCAGCAGCTTCCGTGATTAAAGGCCCGGTTGACACGTCGACCTGTCATCAGATTTAGGCTAGTAGGGATGGGTCAAGGAACAAATACGTTTACTGTATGGGGCAGTGCCGGCTAGGATCTTTGATGATGTTAGCATACGAGAACAGATCGGATCAGTTCCGTGTTGTTCACGTTTCTTTTTCTTTATATTTTTCTTGTTCCCCGGCAAGTATGTTTATATATGTTTTGTATAATTGCATGGGGAATACTCATGTGGCTTCCCAGTCAACATCGTTGTATAACATTCACATTATGGTGAATCCGACCAAATGTATCCATCGCATTCATCAAACCTGCCAGGCTGCCAGGTTTCATCCAGCATCCTTACTTGCATCAACACTCAAAAATTGTTGCACCCGCCGAACTTCTGGTTGGTGGGTTCAAGCCAGCCTCAAATACTAGTCATTGGAATGGCCATCCCATTGTTAGGGAAAATATGGAAATACACAAGACCAAATAAAACCACGCCAACCAGGTATTGGTTCTATCCCCATTTCGGTTGAATATGCTATTATATAAAAATTACCATATTTCCTTTAACTAGTTTCCTGTTATATTCCAAAGCATCCAAACCACCAACAGCAAAGGGGTTCCCAGTTGTGTCGGCTCCCATTTTTTCATGGGTAAATCTGCAATCTTGATGGTTAATTCCCAATTCTTGTTGGTTGAATCCCGATTCTTCATGGATGTTTCACATTTTGGTTGATTTAATCTCTGATTGATGGTTCCAACCCATGGGAAATTCAACAAAACAACAAAAATCTTCCAAATCGCCCAGCACATCTCCATTTTTTCATGATCTTCAATCTCATTTTCCCATATTTTTTCTCCATTTTCACTGGTTCCATAGGCCCAATTTACCACGGTTGCCGCCTTGAAAAGCGCTGCCTTCGGCACCTTGGCCGCGCCAAGCACCGGCGCCTCGAGGGCGGCAAAGAAGGTCAGCAGCGGCTCGGAGATCTTCTTCTTCTCACAGAGATCTGATGCAAAATGCTGGGGTCAACGGGGTCAACGGGGTCGGGGTCAACGGCTTGGGGAATATGGGAATCTGTAACCCATAATTGACGGATCCGGCTGGTGCTGGTAGAAAAATGCTAACATTTATTGGGGGTATATTGATGGGATCCATGTTGGTTACCCTCTGGGAATGACTAACATAGCTATTGAAAATGGCCATTTATAGTGGATTTTCCCAGCTATAAAATGGTGATGTTCCATAGTGAACTGTTAGTTTACCAGAGGGTACTGTAAACATTCAATGGCCATGCAACAGGGACCGATTGATTGGAGGTACCGATTCCATATATTTTTGGCCTATTTTTCAGGCCTATGTAAGGGAATATCCCAGCAAAATATGGCCAGAAATATCGTACAGTACCTCCATTTTTGGATCCTGAAATTCCCATTGAATAATGGGACGCAACCAATTTCCCGGAGATGGAAGAATATGATACATATTTTTTGTATGCTCATATTAGGGAATAAATGAATAGAGATTATGTACATCTATACATGAGTATAATACTAATTTGCGTAAATTGATCTATATACTGTAAGTATAGTGTCTTAGTATAACGATGATAGTATAATGTAGTATGATATATATATATATACAATGAGTATGATGCTAAATTCTTTATAGACATGAAATATATATATATACTGTACTTTTGTATATGCAGGAATTATTCATGTAACATAGTTTCAATAAAAACAGTAGAAAACAGTAGAAAATCAGCAAATATCTGTACACACACCCGTTGATCCTCCATATGTCTTTTCGGATCCTTTTTGGTCTCCACTGCAACTGGGATCATGAAACCATACAGCGAACTACGATGCAGTTTTCTGTGTCAAGCCCATGTTCATATGATTCATATATTTAGGCGTTTGAAACCCCATGAAGAACGTCCATCAACATGTATATTATATATATATAATATTATATAATATTATATAATTATATATATTATATTATATTATAATATATATATATATATGTTGATATGTTAATATATCCAGTCTTTAGTCTTGTCTTTATTCCCATTCTGGGAGATCTACCCCTCACGGTGTTTTTTTTTAAACCGACGTTTGCCTTGCAGCCGCAATCTCATCTCCGAGCGCAGCGCCAGAGCACGGTCCTGGGAGTCTGACGAAAAGCATATGGGATGGGGCCCCAGTTGGATAGCCTTCGGTTGCCTTATAACTGGCTGAATTCTATGGTTTATGGTACTTATATGTACTTATAACCTCTTATAACTATAGTTACTAGGGATTATAAACCAACTTATCACGGGGGGGGGGGCCACATTGTATCGGATGATCATCATAAATCATCTACAAGTGCCAGATTTTCCAAAGTTTACCAGACATGAAAAAATAAGGAAAAATGATGGAAATGGGTGGTTTACCCTCTGAGCTGATATAGCTATGGACACCATCTTCCCGAAAATGAATGAACCATTCTCCATAGCTATATGAAATCAACCAGAGGGTAACCACATGACCAAAAGAGGGGTACGGTGTATCTACCCCATGAAACGAGCGCGAGGGCAATAAACATGCTGATTCATTGTATGACCACAATGCATGAACATCATGAGCAATCAAAACAGAGAAAACAGGGAATACTAATATAACTAAATATACTGCTAGGGTGATGCAATTTGCTGGGTAGGGCTTTGTGGTCTTTAATCCCTTCTCACATGAAAGTAAAATATTTGGAGATGGTGGAATACACTCACAGACGGGAACCTGTATGCAAAAACGACGAAGGAGACCTTCAACTTTGACTCTTCTGCTGAATAACTTTTGGAAAGAATCAAATACATGGTATAGATTAATTAATATTAATCATAGCCTTTCCAACTCGCCTAGATTCACGGCGTACATCTCAAACTTGCGCTTCCTCAAACTATGTCGTGGCTGCTGGGTGGTTTGCTGGGGATCTCTGATGCCAAGAACACCCGACAGTCGGGTTTCAGCCATATCTAGTGGATGTTACCCTACTTGGTGGCTCATCCCACTTAGTAAGTGGGTTATAACCCCAGTCATAAATGGGATAAGTAGGGTTAATCCACTTATAACTGGGGTTATAACCCACTTACTAAATGGGATAAGCCACCAAGTAGCTGATTGGTCGCATTCCGACTTTGAGACGGATGTACATGGTTCATTTTGTTTCAATATGTTCAATATGTCCATTCTTCGGCCCTTATCCCGTTCATAGAAGGTGATATCCCTACTTGATCCTGCTGAAATGGTTGCAATGTAAGTGGAGTTAAATCCAATGTTAGCTGAAGACATGCAGAGATATTGAACAAGATCTTCTCATTTTTAGTTGGAGGTATTTTCATCCGGGTTTGTCTCACCCCAAAACCCGCTGGCTTATTATCATTTCTCCTATTAATAAACATCTATCAGAATCATTCAATTATGTCATCATGTTTGGATTGTTATTTTCTTAAACCACTGTTTTACCTTCTGGTAGTTTTCGGCTATGGAGAATCATCATTTTTTCACAGCTAAATCATCAAAATAAATCGGCCACTCCGTCCATGTTCCATAGCTATGCTAATTTACCAGAGGGTAAATCCATGTATATAAATCCATCTATAGATTTATATGGCTGTATATCTCACATCATCCCATTATATTTCATCAAAAATCCCATCCTATAAATCCCATCATCATATATTATTATCCCAGATCATAGCTTCTTCGTAATATTAAAATTATTATTATTCCATATATTATTATTATTATACCTAGACATTCCATAATGCAAAAATAATTGAACTATTGGGTTTTGGGCCAAGTTTCCCCGCAAAAGTTCAATTTTGGCTCAAATCGTTCGAAAAGGGCAAAAAGTTCAAATAGTTCAATTCTTAACAATTCCTAGCCAATCCTTGTTAAGATCAACTTGAACCAGTTATACTGCATGTTTTCCCAATAAAACATCACAAACGCATCACAAACTTATCAGAAACCCGCAGGGAACCTCAATGAACTACTTCATTTGATTATATATTTAGCTGTCTCATCAATGTGTGGCTCATGGTGGGGGTGTACCTACTTTGTCTCCAGGTGCCACCGTGCCCCTTTCCCTTTGCTTTTGTTTGATTGCTCGCACGCAAGAAATGATCAGCGCTGCCCTTGAAGTTGCTGGACCTCGGGGTTGTCAGGCTCAGCTGACCACCATGGTCAATTTCAGGGTCCATGAGAAAGAGGGCAGTGAAATCATGCAAAACCACAAAGCAGTAGGAACTACAAGAATAACGCATGCATATCATTCTACATCCTTCTTTGTGCTTTGGGTTTCTATAGTATCACAGAAGCGCCATGTCTCATTCTGCTTTGGCCGCCAAATGGGAAGAAGTGGGTGAAATCCGAACCCGTGCCAAAAAACTTGAGCTGGTGCCTGACCCATATTATGGTTTGCCTTTGTAACATTTATACATATATACACATATATCTATATTTAATATATGCATATATATATAATATGTGTATATATATAATATATATAATTTATATATATACATATATATTTCTATATTATATATAAACGCATTCCAACATTCTATTAATATAAGCGTAGGGATCTCATTTCTATCTGCTTATAAGGTGAAAATCTTGACGAACGAGATCACCAGGGATGCGATCAAACAGAATATCCAGGTCCTCACCATTGCTGCCAAAGATTTGGGTCTCAGGGTGGGGGTGAAGACTTGCCAAGTCCATGTGGAAGCACTTTACACATTGATGGCTGTCAGTTGTCCAGGACGCTTGTTTCATTTTATATGTATATATATGCATACAATTCATTTTTTTGCAGTTACATGCGTAGATTCAGTTCCCATCCAAAGGATTCCCTTTTTATTCCTATTGGGTGGACTACATACCAAACCTTTCCTAAGGACACGTTGCGGAGACACAAGGCTGGCAGCTGAAACGCTGCTTGAGCTTCACCCAGAACCGTTTGGTGAACCGTCCATGCAGACCCAAAGACCCGCTGCTTCGAAAGTTTATGGATGACCTAGGTTTTTTTTGGGAGGAACCTGATGCAGTGGAGGCCGAGGAAAGTGAGGAGGAAGAACAGGAGGAGGAAGAGGAAGAGGATGGTAGTGAAAATGAAGGAGATGGTGACTCTGATGGTGTACCTGCCAGTGAGATTGGGTTGGATGAGTTGCAATCAGAATCTGGGGATAAGGGTGATGGTGAGGGGCCAGCCAATCCAAACCCAGGGCTTCCAGTTTCAACAGAGTCCACCACCCCCATGCCAGCTGCACCGTTGCCAGAACCTGGAAGCCCTCCGTGTGTGATTCCCACAGCCACTTCAAAGCCAGGAGGGGTGTGTTCCCCACCACCTCCAGTCACCCCGTCTAGTGCTAGTGCAGCCAGTGGAACAGATCCTTTGATCACCCCCCCACCAAAACGGTTTCAACCTCTTGATCTAACACCTGAAGCTGTGCAAGTCTCTTGATTGATATATGTTGACAGGAACATGTGTTACCTTCAAGTTTTCAAACGTTATTCGTCTCTAAATTGCATCTTAGGCTAAAGTGCGGAGGTTGACTATGCTGGTGGAACTCCAAAAGAAGCTTGAAGTTGCCAAGCAACTTCAAGATCTGAAAGGAAAGTGCCGACAGGAACCCCAAGTCGTGCCAGGCTAGTTTCATTTGTTGTTCCTCTAGGGGGTCTAGGGGTTTCACCTTACCACGTGCACAGGTGGGAACATGGACAACGTGGACACTCTACCCATGGACATTGACCAGGTCAACCAGTTTATGTGTGATGGGGTCACGGCGTTTTCTAAGGACAGGTACATTGATCGCTATACTAGACATGTTTTCTGCTATTCTCACATTATTTGGAGCGGGTAGTTTTTGTGTTGGCAGGAGACCTGCAAAGAATCAAGTGAAGGAGAAGGCCAAATGGAATCCATTCAAACACAAAAGGAATCCACAATAAACAGACCATATATCCCGAATTATCAACCATTTGGGGAGCCCGTGAACATCATCTTAATACAAAAACAATGTTGTGGAACCAACCATGTATAGTATATTGCTTGGGTTTTCACCCCGTAGCCTATCAGGAAAACTTCCTGCTGCAACAGTTCCGGATGGAAGTGGGAAAACTGCTGACCCTGTCCAGGCCAGCTCATTTTTGAAATGCCCATGCCCAATCGTCTACTTGCAAGTTGAACATTGCTGCCTTTGGCAGGTATTGGATGTTGAGCCCACACGAGCTGAGCTGAAAGGATTATATAATATAATTTATTTATATATGAATGGTTTCAAGATATCCTCTTGGTTCCCACGCAATGCAAGCAGCTGGCAGGAGATTGCATCTCTTCCCTGGGACCTGAGCCGGGAACACCGAAATACTCTGCCAAGGAGATGGGGGGGGGGCCAGGTGTGCACATGCAAGTGTTTTAGAAAACACGTAAATAAATATATAACATCGATAATCAACAGGTGCTTTCTGAGGTGTACCTATTTTACCCCAGATTTCCCCCATCTATGTTTTGGAAAAACATGTCATCAAACAGGTGGTTTCTGAGGTATACATATATCATCCCACATCTACGTTTTGAAAAACTAACTGGCCATCAAGAGTTCTTTCTGAGGTATACCTATGTTATCCCATATGTCCACCATCTATATGAAAAAAACACAGTGGTTGCAACCGTGTGGAACCAGATACCGGTTTCCAGGACCAGGGTGGCCCAGAAGTTGAACAACTTGGCGCGCATGAAGGACTATGGTCAAAATATATATATATATATTATTATTATTATTATTATTATTAT